TTATCCAATTCACAAGATCCCTCTCAAGGTACTGTAGATGATCTGGATATGCCAATTGCTGAGGAGTAAGGTCTTGTTCAAAATACTTGTCGTTAGCTGTTCATCTAATAAATATAGGGTTTTCATGTCTCAATTCGATGGTATGATAATTCCTAATGACATAATGCCTTGAAAGATCCAAAATGACAAGCTACTATCATGGAAGAAATGAAGGCATTAAAGGAGAATGATACATGGAAAATTGTTAACAGACCTGAGGAAAAGAAACTAGTGAGTTGTAAGTGGATCTTCACCTTGAAAGTTGGTCCAGAAGGTAAAATAGAGAGATACAAGGCTTGATTGGTTGCCAGAGACATACCCAAACCTACAGTCTGGATTATGAAAAAACATTTGCATCTTTTGTCAAAGTTGAACTCTATCAAGGTTCTCCTATCTATGGCAACTACTCTAGATTGGGAACTTCACCAAATGGATGTGTCAAATGCCTTGTCAAATAGAACCCTAGTAGAAGTGTATATGAAGTTACTACCTGGATTTGTGGAGCTAGAAAATTTTGATTTCGTATGTAAGCTGAAAAATCCTTGTATTGGTTAAAACAGTATCCAAGAGTCTGGTTTACAAGGTTCGTTACTGCTATGAAGCTATGTGGATACAAGTAAGGATAGGCGGACCATACTCTATTCATTTAGCAATCTAAAGAGGGAAAGAGGTCAATCTTGATTGTTTATATTGATGATATGGTGATTGTAGGTGATGGCATTAAAGAGATAGCAAACTTCAAGAGACAGATACAGTTTGAACTCAAGATTAAAGACCTTGGGAAACTTTAATATTCCTTGGGATGGAAATAGCTAGATGCAAGTCAAGCATTTTCATTTCATAAAGAAAATACACTCTAGACCAATTAGAGGAAACAGGAAAACTACAGTCTCAACCTTCTAGCAAACCACTAGAAAAAAATTGGAAACATAAGGTTTCTGAGAATGATCCTTCGGTAAACAAAGAAAGATATCAAAGTCTCGTTAGAAAACTAATCTATCTATCACTAGCAAGACCTGATATTACTTAAAGTATTAACATGGTTAGTCAATTTATGCATGCTCCAAAAAAAAGAAATCAAGATGTTGTTGATGAGATTCTTAGGTGTTTGAAAGGTACACCTGAAAAGGGACTTTTGTTTAAGAAAAGTGACAGCCATGAAATAGAGAAATTTGCACATACTGATTTGGCAGTTTCAATTGAAGATACTAAGTTTACTACTGGTTATTGCACAAAGCTTTGGGGAAATCTTGTTATCTAAGGAGTAAAAAACAAGCTGTAGTAGCTAGAAGCAGTGCTGAAGTAGAATATAGAGCAATTATACAAAGGCATTTGTGAGCTAATCTGGTGAGAAAAACTACTCAATTTAAATATCTCACTGGAGGGTCTTATGAAGCTATACAGTAATAGTAAATCTACAATGATAATTGTTCACAACCCCATGCAACATGATTGTATGAAACATGTTTGAGTTGACATAAATTTCATCAAGACTGAGATTCGAAGTAGAAAAATAAATTTGCCTTATGTGCCTACTAGATCACAAGAAACTGATATGTTCACTAAAGTACTTACTACATGGGGTGACTTTGAGTCAAATGTACGCAATTTAGGAATGATTGATGTGCATTCACCAGCTTGAGGAGGATGTAGGAAGGTGATAAGGATTCCAGATTTAAGGTAACCCGGATCAAATTGTCCTTATTCTACCTGATTTCCTTTTTGATTAGGATCCTTGATTCTAGGCTGATTTTAGCTAATTTGATTAGATCTTATCCTAGAATATTCCTTGATTTTCTCCTTTCTAAATGCATATAAGCACTGTATAAACTAAAGCAAAATACACAAATCTGAAAAATTTTATTCCATCACTCTGATTTCATTAATTGGCTGTGTATAGGAGGGCCAAATCGAAGATGACATAATTGCTTGAATTATGTCCAAGTTAAGTATGGCTGGTCCCTTTCCAATTTGAGAAAACATAGTTGTGCATCTTCCTCCAAGTGAAAGAGCCAGCGGCACTTTCTTCTTCTCAGC